CCATACGAAGCAAGGATAAACGTTAACCTCTGTCATCCTCCCTACTCCCCTCCACTTTTTCTTTTTTTCTTACCACTACTTTTACCACTAGATCTAGATCTAGATATCTACCGCTTCCTCGTTGTCGTCAGGTGATCTCAATGTTGGTCAAAAGAAAGGAACAATTGGGATCTGGAGAAGGAAATGACAAAATAATAGAAAATCAGAAAACAAAAAATGCCACTCATAAGGAGCTATCTGGAAAATAAGATGTGGGTGGTCCTCCTCCTCCTCTTTCTCCATCTGTTCATCTTCCTCATTTTGATCCATCTCTTATTGCAATTTAGAATACTTTCTTTTAAAAAACCCCAACCCAATTCGCATTCAATAAGCAGCAGAGTATTGTAATCACAGAATTCTACACAGTGTAGAATTCTGTGATTGTAATCAATCAACCTATCACAGCATTGGAACCGATCCGAAGAGTTATAGCCTTAAAATTGTTAAAAACTCACAGCTTGCTATTCAAATATTATTATTCTTTATCGGTGGAAAATAATAAATTCACTAATATGTGACAGCGCGCTGTGCCGCAAAAGAAATTGAAGATGAATTTCCCTTTTAAAAAGCTATCACTGGGAAAAATAGCGAGGGAAAAAGCAGCGGCAGTAGATATAATATTATCTTGACCAAGAATACTTTTTAGCCAACAAAGAAAGTTCTTATATTTGTACAAATGGGTGACAGGAGACGACTGGGACATTTTTTCTTCTCAAAACGTCCAAGTAGAGAACTGAGACGTGAACTGTTGTATCAGTGGCGTTTGTTTCAGATCTGGCACTGAACCACGAAGAAGATCGAGAAGCCTGCTCGTGAAATGATATGAAATACGTTGAATAATAATAAAACGAAAAAAATGTTCTACACAAGTAGACCCTTTTCCTTCCGTAAGGGATGTCACTCTGTAACCATTGAAAGAAAAACGGTAAGGTGGAGCAGAATAATATCGTGTGTGTATTGTTTGAATGGTTACAATTTTAAATTAATTACAACATATGACGATATCTTCCGTTGTTTCCTGTAGAAATTATGCTTTTACTTATCTAGATCTATATCTTGGGCGATTTTACAGTTCAAGTTTGTTATGTTATCTCAAGTTTGGGTACTCTACCCCTCCCCCCCACTCTACCCTACTACACTGGCCCTACCTGTATAATCCTGTAACCAACTACAAACTACAGTACTACTATTGTACTAAACTACTCGTCACAACAGCTAGATATCTAGATCTAGAATCTAGATCTAGATCTAGATCTAGATTTAGATCTACATCTAGACTACATTTAGATCTAGATCATATCTCTTTTCTAGATCTAGATCTATCGGTGCTTTTTCGGTAGTTCCCACCCCCCTTATTTGACCTACATCATCTAGATCTAGATCTAGATCTAGATCTAGATCTATACGTTTGATTCGCGGTGAGCTAAGATATCAAACCTTAAAACATTAAATTATGATAAAATTCAGGGGGGCATGCCCCCCTGAAACCCCCCTTCCTATTTTTATTAGGTCAGGGGGGCAAGCCCCCCTGAAACCCCCCTACTCTTGGGGCCAAAACCCGTGAATAACAATTGCGGGGTGGGAACTACCAAAAAAAGCCGATCTATCTACATTGAAAGTGGCTATTCTCACTCGCCCGGAAGTTCTCGCAAGATCAACTCCTGCCCTCTTCTCTCTCTCTCTGTCTCTTTCTGAATACTGTCTATCGGTGTGGACGATCAAATTGACCAAAACAAAGTTAAAAAATGATGTTAAAACACAAAAGTAAATAAATTTGGTTGTCTACAAAGATGCTACGGCTATTTAACTTTTCGAATCGAGCCGAACTACGCGGGTCGCCATTTTGTTTTGCCCGGAAATTCTCGCACTTCTCCTCTCTCTCTTTCTCTCTCTCTTTCCACTGCCCACAGACAAAATTGTATGCTTTTAGTAGGCTACAATTGTAACGGAACGTTTGTTCACGGCACAGAATTCTACAATTTTTCTGTTATCACAGTGCAGAATTATGTGGTTTAGGGTGAACGCAAAATTTGGTGAACGCGCACCGGGTGAGAATAGCCACAAGACTCGCCTGCACTATTCTCACTCCGGGTGAGAATAGAGGTGGCCATCTACATTTAGAGATGTAGATTCTAGATGTAGGCTAGATCTATCTAGACCTAGATCTATATATATATAACAAAAACATTTTTGGCCTGCAAACCTGCACATCCTCTGGCCCGTAGATGTTTTATAATAATGGTCTAATCTAGATCTAGAATCTAGATCTAGAGCATTCTCGGCTATATTGCCAAGGAGGATGATCATTCTAAGACACCATGTGAAGGGACCAGTTTGCGATCAGGGCACCTTACTGCAGTCATCAAGGACACATGCGGCCAGGGAATTGTGATGCGATCACATGGGGATATATATGCGGCCAGGACCTCCCAACATGGTTTGTAGTGTACTGTGGGGCGGGGTTGTTTTTTAAGAAGACGTGCCGGCAGGTTGGCCTCGTGGTTGACGGACTTTGGCCAAAAGGTACAGATCCCGACAGTATGATACTCTTGAGCTTTGGCTTTTTATTGACCATCTTGTGAGATCAAGTGATCAGCCTTCGAAATTACCATCTGTGTACAGTAGGGTGTTACAAAATAAACAACAGGAGTCACTGTAGCGTAGTGGTAAGACACACGCTTCATATGTTGAAGATCCTGGGTTCGAGTCTCATTGGGCCCACATTTTCCCAGAGTTTTATGGCCGGAGCAGCCGTCTCTTATATGACCTTCATGTGTCGAAAGAGACGAAACTACCAACTTGGTGCATACTCGGTAAAGTAGTAATGGGAGAAACAGGTGAGATTAGTGAGAACGAAATAAAAAGCTTAATGATGATCGGCTCATGTTACATTGACGACAATGAACAACTTTGACAGATTAAAAAAACCCACTGAATAAGTAAATAATATCAGGAACTTTGACAGACACCTTCACAAACGACCCAAGCGTATCTTTTCTAAAAAATCAATAATTGTCCCCCTACTCCGGAGTCCAAAATACTCCGCAACGCTCAGGCTTTGAATTAACTTTGGTGACCCCTGCAGACATACTCACATTATGACACGGGATGTGAGCGTGGGCAGGTTCACCGACCGGTCACATTGGCGAGCCTGACAAGCTGAAAATATGACGTTTAATTTGTTAAGTCACAAATTGATTTATTTTATCGGCGACACAGCGTTTATAATTCACAACCTGCATGTCATAAAAGTTGCAAAAATGAACTTACTGACCCTATCGGATTTGGTTTTAATTATTAATTATTTCCTTGGGTCTTTCTCACTGCAATTTACAGATTTCCTCAAATTCCCGGGGCATTCCCGGGTCTCGGCGATTTTTTTTCAAATTTGCGGGGCCTGGTGGTCACCCTGTCAAGAGGTACAAGTGACAGGGCAGTTTCTTCAGACGACACCGAATCTGATGGAGTCAGTCTTGATTGATCTATCACATTGAAGTCAAGAACTACAAACCAGGCTTTCTGAATGCATTTATGTGTAAGCTAAATTGCTGTTAAATGGGCACTGTTAGCAACTGACCATAACAATGCCCTTCTCCAATGGAGTGGACCTTTTGCAGACGTTGCCAATCACAAGAAGTCCCTTTTAAAAAAAAGTGGAATAACTATGTGGCCACCCCCTCCCTGGGTCCCCTTTGTTGTTTTCTTTATGTTAAGAAATTTCACATGATATTTATTCATTACTGCAACACATGAACCTATAATCGAATAAAAAATATGATAAGAAAGCTTTGTAATGACCATGGACAAGTGACCAGTCAAATTTTCACACATAGATATTTTGATAGACTAAATTCTTCTAACCACTGCTGTTCTCAAACTTTGCTGCCTATCGAGACCATCTTTGTTGTAAGCATGTGATTCATGATGCCAGAGCATCATGGGAGCTCGGTTTCCGTTTGGAAAATAAAACAAGACTTGAGTTATTTACTTTATAAGGAAAGTGGCCGCATAGTTCGGCTGGCCGCAGATAATGCCTTTACTCTAGATCTGCGCTCGTCAAAAAAATGAAAGTCAAGAAGCTGGAATTTTTCTGCAGATTTGGGAATTTATAAAAATTTTTTTTTTTTGCTCAACACCTTTCCTCCCAATTAAAGAACATATTTCTGTGTGAAGTTTACTGAAAACATAGATTGAAGGCATAAAATTTGTGAATGTTCAGTTTCCACAGACTCTCAAGCTAAGGAAATAACTCAACTTTGGCAGCCATTTTCTCGCTAATTTATCTCTGAAACCAGTCAACCCCCACCTCCTTCAATCACCAAATATCTTGACTTAAGATAAATGGATATTTTTTCATCAAAAGCAAGGCAAATGGACAGGCTTTACGATGTACCAATAACTCCATATGCTGAAAAATTAACGAGTGCCTGATTCTACTGTGTCGTGACACATCTCTAAATTAACATCTTATTATACTTTTTGGGTAGATCTAGTCACTTTGGCTATTGTTAAGATTCCTGCATTTAATTCCCTTTTGCGTTAGTGTCAGGGTCAGGGTTAGGGTTAGGCCTAGGGTCCAAAGTGAAACATGCCTGAGGCTATGAAAAACGCAAATCAGAATTAAGTGCGGGAATCTTAACAATCGCTACCACTTTTTGTAGAAGAATTATACAATTTGTCTAAAGTCAGTTTTATTGTATTGAGGAGATCACAGGTTCTATTTCTGATGGTTAGCCTCCTAAAGAGAGCGCATCTGATCTTCTGATGTCAATGTCATACATGTCTCTTCTATTCACTGAAATGTTCAGTCTTTTACATATTGCTGTAGTCTGATGGGAAAAATTCCCCATGATGATCCACCCCACATTATTATCCTGCCGTTGATGTTAGATAGTCCCTCCAACTGATCATGTTGCATGGCTACTCCCACTGTTGACCAATAGGTAACAATAAATTTTCAGCTGCTGGTGAGGTAAGCATGTGATCCCTCATAGCCCGTTACCCAGGCCCAGAACTCATACACAAATGGTAAGTGAGAAGAGTGGTCACTTTTTAGCCCATCTGTAACAAAGTAACACACATACATACATGCACAAACACAAACATAATTAATTTTTACACCGTAAGGCCCATGCAACATTGGACTATCTGTCTTCGATCACATCCTACCACCCAGCAGCCACCCTCACATGAGTAGATTCAAGGATGTTTTAGTAGCTTATGCACACTACAGGTAATGTGTGATGATGGGTCTCGATACCAGCAGTGTGCGTATCAGGCTGTGCTGGGGCGAGCCAGGTGGGCTCATGAAACCTGACACTCTTAATGGTTACGGATGTGGTTTTACCATTGTGCATACATGGGGATTTGAATGTGAGACAATTGTGAGGAAAAAATTAATTTTTACAGACGAGCTGTTCGACAAAACCTGAACTTCTGGTTTTCTCAGCGCACGGTGTTGCCAATACAAAAGAAACGGCGGTTCAGTCAGGAAAGGGCATGTTATAAGAGTTATCTGTGATTTTCAGGTTTCTGTGTTCGTATTATCTGTTCCCAGCTGTATTTGAATATTTTATAGAATCACTTTTAAGAGTTTGACAAACGATTTAAAGTTGAATTTAAATGTATCATTCCTTAAAAGAAAAGAGCATTCTTTACACTTCGTACACTACTTTTCTTTCACCCAGTGAGCTATATTTTTTTTTCTTATGACTACAGCTGTTTGTATTTGTTTTATTTAGGTCTTGGCCAAGAAATTCAGAGGCTGAAATAAAGACATAGACCAACAGTGAAGATGGCAGATGTGCATAAACTTGTGTTTTCCATTCTCAAGTTCCTGGGGGACCAAAAAACATCAGGGCAGCTTGATGATGAAGCTGTAGAAAGCCTTGAAGGTATGTGTACATCTCTTTTTGAATGTCTGATCCAAAACTGGATATAATATATGGCTTACTTAGTGATAGTGGTACACTTGCATGAATGCTGTAATAAATGTGCGCTTTTGGATCTGATTTTAGCTTTAGTTTGGGGTTATAGTAGAGATGGGAATATTTATTGGAGGGCCTTTAAGAGTTTATATTTTCTTCACATTTTAGTGCTTGTGAAGTCACGCACTGATACTGAAACTTGTTTCTTTTTAAAAAAAGTTTTAATAGAGGTTTTACGACGCTCGCAACTGCGGAAGGTTGTATGAGCGCCAAGGGGTGGATGTCAACAGCAAAGTCCTTACAGGGAATCAAGCTTATTCTGTTCACCTCTCTAGCTTCAGCAGCACAAAGTCTGCTTCGACTATCAAGGCACCCCGGAAATAGCGGGTATCAAGAGTGACAAACATACTAAAGAAGTAGAGGAAAAATGATGATAGTACAGATTAGGAAAGAAAAAGCAGCAGTTCCCTGTTGCAGTTTAGGCACAGTTATGAGCTTGACATTTATAAATCAGCCATGTACGATTCTTCTGTGCATAAGAACATGTCAATTTCCCCCTTTTGGGAATGGCCTAAAGACACTTCAGTCAGTAGTATTGCCCCGGGGGTAAACTTGTTTCTGACCATTTACTTTCAACTATTTGTTGTATAAGAATAAGATCATAAGTCATAAAGGTTAAGCAAAATTTAGTATAATAAAGCTGATTCTTAAATACAGAATTGCATAGAAAAATTTATGTGAATGGTTTAACTTTTCAGAATGGCACATGAACTCACCATAATTTGTATCGAAACTGAAAAAAAAAAGATGGGAAGAAGCAGAGGCCTGAATATAATAGTTGCCAATTGTTGCTTTAAGTGTGCGTTATGTGTAATTAGTATAGATTGTGAAGCACATAGAGCTTACTGTTGAGCGGGAATTTGCGCTATACAAATGCTAAAAAATTAATTCATTTCTTGAATGTTGTGGGTGATTGGTGGGTGCTCTGGTCTTATCTCCCCTTTTTCTTTTTTATGTTTGTTACTCTCTTGTAACACCTCTAATCTTCTGGCGCTCATATGACCTTATGCAGTTGCGAGCGCCGTGAAACCTCTATTAAAACTAATACTAGCCCCTTGTTGCCAGGGGGTGTGCATTCCTACTGTCAGCACTGATTTTCAGCTTAGCTTTTTAGCCAGGACTGTAGTCTCATCAGTCTCAGTGTCAGTGGACTCGCTGTCTGATTCTGGCCCTCTCATGACATATTCAGACCCTAGGTCTTCAATGGTGTTATCTTCCTCACTCCTATTTCCCTAGTATCCCCATAATTGTGAGCAACTTGGAAATTTAAGTGAAAACTGAAATTTGATGCCCCTTTTCCCTCTTTTTGGTGTTAACGTTGCAAACCTTCTGCACTAAAGACTTAGGACCACATGATTGCTTGGACAAACATGTGATGTCTCAAAGGCAATACTGAATGGCAAATTTTGCTAATTTTCGTGACGTCCATGCTATAGCAGAAAGCTAAAAATGCATTTGGGTGTCATGTATGTCATATTGCAACGAAGGGGTGAGTGGCTCTGAGTGGTTGAAAGCAGAAAGCACTTTCCTCTGCTGAGGGACACTAATTTTCATGCAAACACCCTACTGTATCACACAAAATGGGAATTTTACTGGACATTTTAAAAACAATTACAGTGGAGATTGAAACGCTATTTGTTAAAGTAAAAAGATAGTGAATAAAATGAACCGGTTTCATGGGGAAATCGGATAAAGTGAACCCCAGAATGAGTGAAAGCGAAGAATGGACCAATCGTGCCACTGTCGCCATGCTGTGAAAATAAAATTCTTTGCCTTGGGCATCAGCAGACAATCCCAGCTCGGCGTTGGCGACGGCATTCTCAATCAGAAAGAAAGAGCTCTAGTGTAGGCTCGTCCGCTGTGTTGTCCCCCCACCCCACCTCCACCCATGACCCACCACTGCATGTAGCTACAGTAACTGTTTCTAAGCCTCCACCCTGCCAAAATGGTTTAATAAAACCTCGGATAAAGTGAACACTTTCTTCTGGTCCCAAAGAGTTTACTTTAAGCAGACTCCACTGTAGATAAAAAATTATCCCTCCGATCCCTATCCCTATATGGGTGTGGCTTGAAGTGTTATGGTTTTTACAGTCATGAATTACATTCTGATTTTAGTTATGTGAACTTGCATTGTTGTTTGAATGCAATCTGAACTGTTGTTAGATCTTCCAGTCCATAAAGCTGAGTAAAGATGCTGTAGAATTGGATTGTTCAAATTTTGTTGCTTGTTGCTCACTTCAAACTGGTTTTTTTTGCATTCAATCATCTCTCACTTTTTTTTTCATGTATTACATTTTGCCCGCCCTCTTGGAACTAATGAAATAAGTAACGATTTGTATGCTTTGTAATTTATTAGAGATAATCTGGTTCTTTGCTTTGTTTCAGTGGCCATACAGTGCCTGGAGCAAGTCTACAAAGTCAACACATGTAGTGAAGAGAATGTGCAGAAGTATTCAGTGCAACAGAACTTATTAGATATATTTAATGCACAGCTGAGTGAGGTACGCATGCTCTTTACAAATCAGGAATCGAGTGGAATGATCTATGCAGATTATATTGCTTGTTTGAACTTTTGATTGATGGTTTTATGTAAGTGTAATAGTAAAATTAGTATGAATTCAAAAGTTCAGACTGTGTGGAATAGACCAGTATTAAATGAATCTCTTCTTTCCTAGGGTGAAAGATCAGAATCTGTATTTTCATAGCTTAATTGTTTTTCTTACACGGCAAGTCAATAGCTTCTTTGACTAGTAATCTGTTAATAATTTGAGGGCATAGATGCCCTTAATTTAAAGGCCTCTTTAATTCCTTTTTCCCCTGTAAGAAAATATTGTTAAGGAGAAGCAAACAACTGATTCATTGATTTATTATTCAGCTCATGAAATTCAAATTTTTGTAGTTTAGCAACTTCAAAACCAGTAATCGTTGAGAGTTCATCTTTTGACATAATGTGTTTTGTGATGCAGTAATCGAGTACAGCTAAAAAAAAAGGGATTTTGCAAGAAGTGGCGGATGATTTAGTCGCACAGTGGTAAAATTGCATCTTACATGCTTTTGATGTGTGACAGTAGATAAACTTTCTCATCTGGTCATCTTTTTACAAGGATGGCAATGAGTGCCTTACTTCTGACTTCTCTTAAGGGAAGACCCGAGTGGCCGATCCCAGACAATATCAATAACATTTTTCAAACCATCCGACTTTTGTTTTTTATCCTTTGACATCTGTTCTACCGTGTCACGATGACGGAACTGTTGAAAAAACACTCTAAATTGCGGAAAAGAGTGTTTGAAAAGTGCAAAATGCGCTAAAATTCCTTTAAAAAATCCCTGTTTTTTCTGTTTTTCTCAAAGCTTGAGAGGTTAGCAGAGTAAGTCTGAATCCCAGTAAGGACTTCTCTGTTGACATCCACCCCTTGGCACTCAAATGACCTTATGCAGTTGCGAGCGCTGTAAAACCTCTACAACCCCAATACCACTTGTCACATGGATAGTTTGAGTGTTTACTTCTTTACCATCCCAATTTTGTTTCTATTTGTCTTGCTTTTCCCCAGCACTAAACGTGTGGTAGTTATTGTGTTGATGATAATAATAAATGATATTATAATGTATGATATGTATACAGTGCTCGACCCCGATTAAAGAACACAGGCTGTGAGTGCTGTACAGATACAATAACAATGCATAAACAGTACGTTGTGTTCTGACTAAAAATCTATTTATGTCTCACTAATCTAAAAGCAGAAATGACTTAAGCAGACAGGTGAATGAATTAAAATATTTGATCTCTCCAAACGTGCAAACAAAGCATTCCAGATCTTGGGACCACAATATATAAATGCCGTTTCGTCCATTCTTTTAAGTTTCATGGTAAAACTAATTTCTTTCTATCAGCTGATAACCTTAAACTTTAAGTTGGAAAGTACACTTTCAGCAGATTTGATAAATATAATGACTCATTTTCATTTAAGCATATGCAGAATGATGTGCTTCTGTTTTTTTGCGTATATTAGATACATATGTGTAGAAGTTGAGGGGATTTTTTTAAAAAGGTATAACTTCATGTCATGTGCGTCATTGTTCTTTTTGCAGACTGAATCTGACATGGCCTCTCTCTCATTACACGAAGCAAGTCCGGACCAGAAAGAGGAGGCAGAGAGATTGAAAAATAAAGGTAGCTGTGCTCTTCAGGCATTGAGACACTTATTCGGGGCTCACCTAATTTTGAGGGATTTGTAGAACAGCAGCGACAGTTTTGGTCCTATTTCTGTGATTTTCTACCAATGTGGCACAATGTTTAGTTTATCACCTCAAGATCAGCTTTGTTTTTCGGTTTCACAATCGTATCTGAGTTAGCGGGAAATGACTGTTTTGTACAGAAAAGTGACAGTGCTTTCCTATAGCCTGAAAAGTATGGATACTGATATCCTTGAGACTCTTCAAACTCTTAAATCATTCAGTACTGACCTTGGTAGGATATGTTTGTTTTTAGTGCCATGGATTCTTGGCTGGCTTGTGTTTTTTTGACAACTTTACTTGCAGGACGTTCTTTGTTTCTAATCTTTTTTTTGTCTGTGTTCCTTACTTTGTTTCCATCTGAATCGAAAATATTCACATGGGTACAGGGTTGGTGATTTTTTTGATTTTTTAAATAAAAATTTAAAAAATCGATTTTAACAATTTAAATCTGATTTTTCATAATTTTTAAATAAAAAAAAAAAATTCGACATAATTTTGGGTTTTTGGTGGCTAAAAGTATGTTCTTTTATTGCAAAATGCATTGTCTTTATTTTAACTAATGGTTAATTTAAGCAACTGCAAAAGAAAGCCTTAAAATTCTGCTATATCAGTGAATTATGGCTACAGACAAAAAATGAAGAAAATATCAGTCTAAAAGGAAGGGGGGGGGGATAATTATGCATAGATAAACTTGCATTTTATTACAGTATGTGTATGTGTGTGTGTGCGCGCGCTTGTGTTTGTCTAAAAAGAAGAAGAAAATGCTAATTTCAATTATGAAAAAAAAAGTAAATTGAATACTGTATTATTTTACAGTGACAGGGGGGAAAGCAGACTTTTAAGCATGATTATATTAGTCTACTAAACCTTTATATCTGTTTTATAAAACCAAGGAAAGGAATTCTGAATGTTTAAAGATGTAAAAACAGAATACATTAAAAAAAAAAGTGAGTTTTATTTTTAGAATCAAGTTGATTTAAACAACAAAAAAATCAACTGATTTAAGTCAACCCAACCCTGATTTCAATTATGAAAAAAAAAAGTAACTTGAATACTGTATTATTTTACAGTGACAGGGGGGGAAACAGACTTTTAAGCACGATTATATTAGTCTACTAAAACTTATATCTGTTCAAGAAAACCAAGGAAAGGAATTCTGAATGTTTAAATATCTAAAAACTGAATACATTTTAAAAAAATGATTTAAATCACTGATTTTTATTATAAAAATCAAATTGATTAAAATAAAAAAAATCAACTGATTCAAATCAACCCAGCTCTGATTTCAATTATGGAAAAAAAAGTAAATTGAATACTGTATTATTTTACAGTGAAAGGGGGGAAGCAGACTTTTAAGCATGATTATATTAGATCTAGTCTACTAAACCTTATATCTGTTTTATGAAACCAAGGAAAGGAATTGTGAATGTTGAAATATGTTAAAAACTGAATAAAAATTTAAATCACTGATTTTTATTTAAAAAATCAAGTTGATTTAAATTTAAAAAATCAACTGATTTAAATCGACCTGATTTAAATCAACCCAACCCTGCATGGGTAGTTATGGGGAACCTCTGGTAGCACCCCCCCCCCCTCATTACTTTATAACCATTATCATGTCAGTGTCCTTCTCTTTAACTTAAACATGGTAGTATTTGCAATAATTGGCAATTTTTTCCCCAGGAAATGAATTCATGAAATCAGAAAAGTATTCAGATGCTCTTGAAAGCTACTCCCAAGCTATCAGGCTTGACCCAAGGAATGCAGTATATTTCTGCAACAGGTAAGAGACTGTTTCATGGTCCTAGTACATACCCAAAGGTTATAATGATCTATTGCTTTCCATGCTGTAGTAAAGTTGGGTGATATAGCTAGGCCATCAAATCAGCTTGCAGAGGTTATTAATGCAATGTAATGCTTGCTATAAGACGTTATGATATACGATAATGTGCACAAGGAATTTTTTAAACACTCATTTCCATCACATCATTTATAATTATAATTGACTGCCAACAAGTCTATTTTTAAATGGAATTGGGTTTGAAACACATCTCAGCTGCGTTTCACTTTGTCCTCAATTGACTGCTTTATTTTCTCCATGATATCATTTTTAGTGTGGAAGTCTGATGGTGCTTTAACTCTTTCTGTATCAAGTACTGATATATCACTGTCGTTCTTTTACGCTTTGCAGTTATGCTTATCGATCTTGGTTCAAGAAGAGTTAAGCCAATGACAGTGCAGCTCTTCTGCTAATGGGATGCCATTTGTACATCAATACTGATACCTTTGTGTTGATTTCTTTCCTCAATATTTACAATGCGCTCTTTCATGCAGATCCAGTAGACTAGCAATAAGTAGATCCCTGATATCCTGCCATACAGGACCTTTTTTTTAACCCTATCTGTATGCCCTGGGGTCATTTTGTACCCCCGGGGTTGTATTCTTCACATTTTAGAATACTTTTAGTGCGAAGATCTCTTTCAAACTTTCAGTATTTCTCAAAAAATCATTTTGACAAACTGTTATGCAAAGCGTACAGATCGGATTAACGAGTAAATTTCCTCTTTGGAAAGTGTTGGCACAGAGTTCCCCATGTTGTATGGATACGATAGTAATACACGACAAACGGATAGGGTTAAAGTAGAACTTTATAAAGTAAAAAAAAGGCAATCAAATTAAAATGTACTTCAATCTGGCTTTGTGTATTAACTTTAACTTGTCTGTGACTTCTCTCAGGGCTGCTGCCTACAGTAAACTGAACAAGCACCAACAAGCTATCGAGGACTGTAACAGGGCTCTTGCTATAGACCCCAGCTACAGCAAGGCCTATGGAAGAATGGGGTTAGTTGTTTATTCTCAACTAGACAGTTTCATTTCGTTTCCCTTTCAATAAACAAAAAATGAGTTTTAAATATTTTTTGCAAGTGGTCACTGTTTCCGAACACTTGATCAAAACTTAAAAAAAAATTTGTGAATCTTCAATGGACTGGTTCAGTAGCCCTCTTTTGGAACATACTGGTTGTTATTATGGGCTCAGAGTAATGTAGTCTATTTACAGCTTTTTTGTGTTGAAATTGTACTTACCTCTGTGTACATTAATTACTCGTTAGTGTTCTTCTTTGCTCTCTCTATTGTGATAATCTTACTGACCTTTATTTGCAGAATCGCGTTTACAGCCTTGGATGATCACGAGAGTGGGTACGAATGTTATAGAAAAGCCCTTGAGCTCGACCCTGACAATCAAAGCTACCAAAACAACCTTGAGATTGCGGAACAGAAGTTAAAAGAACTGGCTACACAGGTGAGTTAGATCTCATTTACTGACAAGGCGGTTTTATACTGTCTCAAACTATACAATGGGACCAATGGTACATTCAAAATTGTATAAGACAACCACCAATTGTTGAGGAGAAAAATTATTATTTTAGGTAGGGGGAAATCTTGCACAGTTTTCGTTATAATGTGAAAAAAACCCTGCAAGGGCTGGAAATGAGAAGTGGTCGTTTGTACAGGAAATTGTCTCATACAGGTGGCCGTTAAAGAAGATTTGATTGTATTTATTTTACGAAGGCTGTCCCACGGAAAACCGGAAGTTGGCTGTAATATTTTGAAAACTATTCAATATTTTCACGTTCTGTAAACGCGCACTTGTGAAACAATCATTTAGAAAGTTCTTGATTGAGCATCCTGAGCATCGCACAAAGCAAACGAACACAGCAGTGCTCCAAAGATGGCTACCCCTTTAGCAAATTGGTCAAGGATAGAAATGAGATCTGTCTTTCGGTTTCTGACCGCAAAAGGTCTCAAACCTATAGAAATACACACTGAAATCAAGTCAGTTTATGGGGAGAAAGTAATGGCAAAGTCACAGGTATATGAGTGGTGTAGTAAGTTCAAAGCTGGGCATACGGATGTCACTGACAAAGTTCACCCAGGACTTTGTTTTTCTGCCAAAACTGAGAACAACAAGAGTCATGTTAACGAACTCATTCAAACAGACAGGCGCCTAAACCTAAAAATTCGCGAAATTTTCGAGTCGCTAGACATTTCAAAGTTGACTGTCCATTGGATAGTGTTTGATGAGCTGCACTATCGAAAGGTCTCTGCTCGATGGGTCCCAAAAGAGCTGACAGCTGACCACAAGACGCAACGTGTTGAAGTGTCTCAGACTTTGTTGAACTGTTGTCGCTAGCTGTCACGGGAGTCATGAACGCATTTGGAGACCTCAAACAATACGATGAAGCTTTCCTGAGAAGCATTATTGCAGGTGATGAGACTTGGATGCACTACATGACCCCTGAGACGAAGAGGGAATCAATGGTTTGGAAGCACACGTTTTCATCTCCCCCGAAAAAGTTTAAAGTTCAGCCATCGGTGAAGAAACTAATGGCCACGGTTTTCTGGAATGCTAATGGTGTTCTGCTTCTTGACATTCGGGAACCAGGACAAACTGTTAATGCTAACGGATACTGCCAGAATCTTAATACGTTGAGAGAGGTTGTGCGCCGAAAAAGACCAGGCCGGATGTCCAGCGCGGTCATTTTGCAGCATGACAACGCAACACCACACACCGCAAACGCTACGAAAGACTGGATCCAAAGGTTCGGCTGGGAAGTTCTGCCACAACCTCCCTCACAGTCCTGACTTGGTCCGGTCAGATTATCACCTTTTTGGACCAATGAAACGCCATATTTCTGGACAGCGGTTCACCGACGACGAAGACCTGGTGGAAGCCGTGAAAGATTGGTTGAAATCCCTTGATGAAAAATTCTTCAGGGAGGGTATCTTCTTCCTGATCCAGCGATGGGAAAAATGCGTCCAGTGGGATGGTGATTACACTGAGAAATAAAGCACATGTTGAGGTATGATGTGTTACATTTTTATTGTAATAGGACAAAGATTGTTGCTTTTATGGACCTTTTCCGGTTTTCCGTGGGACAGCCCTCGTAGTTTGTCCTGCCATTATGTTCATACGTGTACAGTCGAACCTGCCTTAACGGAAACCTGTGTAAGATGGAAACTTGTCTTAACAGAATCTCCCCGCTCCCCCTTTGATAAATTCCTCTTTAATTACCTGTATAAAACGTAAACTTGTCCAACGCGGAAGCGAAAAGAAAAATCCGCTCCCTTCCGAGGGTTTTACCTGTTTAAGATGTAAAATGCTTTGCCCCCTCAGCTCTGATTTGAAACAAAACTTGCAAGTTTGGTTCCGCCAGCTCTAAACTAAAGTGATCACCGAGCGAGGAAGGGGAGTAGAAGTGCTATTTGGGGGTTGATGTTACTCCATCTATGTGAGCCCTGTGCGATGCAGATGGTCAGGGTGGCGTGGGTGTGAAATGTCACGAGTGCTAGTGAAAGTGCTCGAGTAGCGAGCCATTAGTTTACGGAAATTTTCCTGGGTAGCCAGAAACCAGATAGGTGTGAAATTAGTTTTACCAATGCCTGCCTCCCTGAACATACTGCCTGCCAAGACAAGAGTTCCTCGAATAATTGTTACATGGCACTGAGGGGTGGCATTGGTTGTCTGTGTTTATTATTATTACACCGATGGGTGGGGACAAGGGTTGAAGCAAAGGAGATATTCAAACGTTCTGGTTTTTAATAGGTCAAACAGTGGTCCTATGAAATGCAAGCACTGGTGGCAGTGGATTAGTAAGACTGGCGCATGCCATTATTAGAAAGGATAGCACTTGAGAAGTGTGTAACGTTCTGACCACTGCTTGCTGACCGGACAAGCGACCTTTGATCCCACTGACTGGGCCTCTGGAACTCTCCTCCTTCTCCCCCCAAATACCCCTGTCTACGACAGAAAATGTCTTAGATGGATTTTTTTTCTGGCTCCCTTGCGATTTCGTCTTACACAGGTTCGACTCTTTAGTTTCTTTGATTGTATTTATGATGAAGTCTAGTTTTCCTCTGACTGAAATATACTTGTTTATTCCCATGACATAAAAAAAAATTATTGACAAGTGTTCTGAGTGATTACTCAACCTTGTTATGATTTTGTATTAAAATTATTTTTCTCATTTATCTCTAAATATGGGCATCAGTCGCTAGTGCTAATTTTGCTGTTTGCCGCAGATCCTCAAAGCTCTTGTAGAGTCTTGGGTCTGTCTGCATAGGGTTGGGCCAATTTCCTTCTTAATGCCTCTAGCTTTGGGCAGGCTCATAGATGGTTTCCTGTTTGGCTGCCAGTTCTGCATTGACACTACTATATGTGTATTTAATTGGGAATGTGCAGGTCTCTCTAAGAGAGACTGGCCCAGGATGGTGATGACAGTTAGTAGTCAGTGGCCTACGCCCTACAAGAGGCTTAAGGCGAAATTATGTAAGTTAGTAAGTAAGTAAAGGATGCCAATTCCGAGCTTTTGACATGTGTGAAAAATGTAAAAGTAGTAGTGATGCCATGTGTGAAATAATGATATAGTGAATAGTGATGCCATGTGTGAATAATGAATGTAATAGTAATAGTGATGCCATAAAGAGCGAAGAAATTCTTGAGAGTTGTACAGCATGTCGTGGTCATATTATGCCATTGTACATTTTTTGTGTACTCTGAATTGCAGGTTGGATTCAATGCTGGTCCGACAGGGACAGGTGCTTTGGGTGGAGCTATGGGAAACATGGATTTTGGCACCCTCTTCAACGACCCGAATATTCTCAACATGGTAAGTCTGCCTTTTTTTCATATTACAAAGAAAAGAAAAGTTCAATTTCATTCATCCTTTCTGGAAAGATAGCTCATACTAAGGCATATATAATTATAAACCATACAAAACATGTTGTGCACACAAAGGAAGCAACTGATTAACGAACTCACTACGGACTTTCCCTCGCCAACACACCTTTTTTGCTCAGGTTTTCCTCTTAGATGCCACTCAATCGATTGGGAGTTGAAACCCCTTCAAGCCCTGGGTCAATCTTGACGGGAGGGTTTTAGGCATTCTCGTGGAGAGTATAGCTCCGGGGTAGCCCTGGCACAGCTCTGGTCATCCGAGCAATATACAACGACATGTGGCGGTCATACGCCTCTCCGGAGTCTTGTCGTCTCACCATTGTCATTCCAATACCAAAACCAAACAAAGACCGCACACACCCATCCAATTACAGACCAATAGCACTAACGAGCTGTCTGTGCAAACTTATAGAAAAAATGATTCACAGGCGACTCATGTGGTTTTTGGAGACCACGGGCTCGCTGAGCGACCTCCAGTGCGGATTCAGGAAAACTCGATCCACTGTGGATCACCTGGTCCGCCTGGAGACCTTTTTACGCGAGACATTTGCCGAAGAAGGCTACATGATCGCCATCTTTTTTTTACCTAGACAAAGCCTTCGACACAACCTGAAAGTACGGAATTCTTAGAGTCCTGCACGCTCTCGGCATACGCGGTCACCTCCCTGCCTTCATTGGCAACAATTTCCTGAAGAACCGTTCCTTCCAGGTTCGTGTCGGATCCTCCCCACCAACAGGAGGAAGGTGTCCCCCAGGGGAGCATCCTTTCTGCTCTCCTATTTGAAATCAAAATAGATTCCATAGTAAAAACCCTCCAAAATAGCATTGACAGCTCGTTATACGTTGACGACTTCTTGATATGCTGCCATTTGAAAAATCCTCAACTAAGATCTTTGGAAAGGCAGGTGCAAACACACCTGCACAAACTTGAAAAGTGGGCAAACAACAACGGTTTCAAGTTTTCTCCGTCAAAGACGGGTGCAGTGCACTTCTGCCGATCAGGCAGACGTGTACTGCAGCCGGATTTGACGCTCTACGGGGAAAGGACCAGGCTCGTTTCCTCGGATGCGACACAGATTTTACCATTACCATTAGACACATTTTAATGGAATGTCTAGACTTTAGAGAGACCCAAATGAGATATTTTAGATGCAAAAAATTGCAAGATCTGTTTACCGTCGTTCCCAACAGAATTTTGGATTTTATGAAGGCCATTGGCCTTTATGGGAAATTATAAAATGAAACTAAATTGTAAAAAATGTTTATGTTATTTAAAAGATTTGTTTATTAATTGTTGATTAATATATTTGAAAATATATTAACACCGAATTTTAATATTTTAACATTTAAAGTCTGATAGTTGACCAGCCGTACAGTGAGCTGTTGCGAATGCAACCAACTTGTGTTTCGCGCGCTTATATGGCCTTATGCTGTTGCGAGCGCCGTAAAACCCCATACTAAACTAAAACTCACTTTGAATGTAACATTGCTAGTCAATGCTGTTCAGTGCCCTGTTTTTTTAACTAAAGCTAAGTATTGTGTTCAAGGATGCACCATAGTGACCACCTTTAAAAAATAGCCACCATTACTTGACTGTGTTTGACATTTTTTTTCTGTGAGCACAAGGGCCCTCTTGTAGTTTCTTTTACTATTATGTATTTTGAGTGTGTGCAATTGATAGCAATACAAGGATTTGCATTCTGAAGGTTTTTTAAAATTCAGAATTTTTATCCTTGTAGAGAAATTTTGTTCTAATTCAGGTTAAGATGCGCTGTGTTCTTCCCCTAATGCAAATATGTACAAGGTAGGAGGTTTCCGTAATCAATATCTCGCTGAAGACTGAGGTCTCGTGAAGCGCACAACCCCTGAAGACTGAGGTTTTGTGGGGTATTAAAAAAAATCATAAACTTTACTCAGAATTGTTCAATTGCTCTGACCTTTTCACATAAGTAAAAGACATTTGTGTCCCTGCCGGTCGATATCAGTCATATGAAGGAAATTTCAAAACTGAGTTAACATTATTTTAAAAAACTATCACCTTTTCTCTACAATTTAAAACAAGAATGAAGTAAATATGACCATATTTGACGAAAATACAGAACTTTTAATTGTGCAAGGTTAGGAAACACAAAAAGGAGAAAATGGCCTCCGAAGTTGAGCGACATGGTTCCATAGCAATGGGGGTCTTAGAATTGAGATTGACAGACTTGACATTTATAGTTCATTATAGTTGTTTATTTTTGTCTTAAATGAAGCAGAAAACATCAAACTTTCAATTGATCCAAAAAACAAAAAATTCACGGAAAGTCACTTTTTTGCCTTTCGACCCTTGTAGCTGATAATAGGACACTGCGTCTTACGACTGATATTGACCGCGGGAGACAGATTTAGTGTTCTTTCAAATAAAACAAATTTGAATGCTGTATCTTTTATACTTTTTAAATAATGAATTTGTGAAAAGCATATGAATTTTTTGGTTTTCTCGAGAATTATTTTTTAGAGGTTTACCCTTCCCTTTACTCACACCAGATTTACTCACACTAAGTTACACCTTTACCAACAGAAATATCAGTCAGGCCTTTTGCGCCTCTCAGGCACAAATTCTGGATCATTAGGATCGCTAAGTTCACTTTCTGACGAACTAGACTGATTGAAAACATCAAAACTGTTGCTAGGTTTGCTGCGTACACGTACTCTCGAAGTCTGCATAGTCGCAGCCATTTTCCCTAGAATTGACATTTCTTTTTCCTGAGTGACATACCCTAAAGGTTCGTACTAAAAAAAGTTCTACCCCTACCTCCGCGAAACTTTGCACAAAACGAAAGAAATGGATGCACTAGCGCTACAACGATTCCCTAGGCGCTCTCGGGATTACGAAAAATGCGGAAAAATTATAAAACTGGTCCCATGGGGGTCACTGGATCTTGCATCAGAGGGTAATTGGCCAGTCCCGAGAATGTCTAGGGATACGGCGTCAGTGAGATATAGCTTGACTTCTCTTAGTTTGGCTGGGTGAGTGACAGTGACATGTTGTTTTAAAAAATATGAACAGACACCCCCCCCCCACCCCATATTAAGATCTTGTAAAAGTCAGAATGTCTGATGCCCTGTCTATTTGATGTAAAGCTAAGGTGCAGTTCACCCTGAATATTTTCAGGAGCTGAAAAAATTTTCAACTTTCATTATTTTGTTTGTTTTTTCCTCAGGCAACAACCCTAATGGGAAATCCTCAAGTTCAACAGATGTAAGTAGAGAAAACATAAATCCCTCTTTATGTGACCGCTGGATGCAGGGTGGAAGGCTTAAGAAGGAGTTCCAAAAGTACTGTCAAACCTGTGTAAAACGGCCACCCATTGTCAAGAAGAAAAGTGGCCGTATAACTCAGGAGGCCGTCTTAGGCAAGACTGATCAAACTCTGTTCTCAGGCTTTAGACTGCCTTAAGACTAATTCAAAAGGGTTTTTGTTTTCTTTTTAAAAAAGGGGGGTGGGTAGTGCAAGAAGGGTTTTTTGTGTTTGTTGTTTTGTTCGTTTGTTTTTTTGGTTAGCTTTCTTTTTGTTGCTGATTTTGTGCAAGGGTAAAAAAAACGAAATATGTAAGACAATTAAGACCGAGTGCCCTGGTAAAACAAAAACACGGATTGCCACCACTCGGAGAACGAGCGACGCTTGAGTTGCAAGTTCACGTCAACGTCCATTGTTACTTTGTTACAGATAAGGTAAACAAAACAGTGACCAGTCACCTCATATAATATTTGTGCATGAGTTGTGGACGGGGCTTATAGGGTTAGTTGAAATTTTATTGTTAGGCCTACCCTTTGGTCAACTTGAGTAAATATTCACTGGAGGGACTAACAATAAAGATAGGTGAATGGTTTATGACAGCCCGTTCACAGCGTGAGGGGCCAATTCAAAGTTTATGACAAAACGTCAGGCTATCAGTGACCACGCCTGGCCGCCTGAGGCAGGTAAATTTGACAGTGGGTTGATAAAATAAGGTGGCCACAGCCGCATTGGACAGGTGACCGTTGTACACAGTTCACTCTTTGAAGGCGCACCCACTTTCCCTTTCTCGATCCCCCGTGACGCACCTTTTTTGCCCTTTTTTTACCAGGTCACTATTTTTTCCCTATCAACAGTACAATATTCACACTTACTCCACTAAAAAGTACACTTTGTCTATTTTCTCTAATACCAATCAATCATATATTGACAATACTAGTCTTACCTTGATTAAGGCTGCAAGATCACTATAGTTGCCCTCAAAAGAAAATTTTAGTTGACAACATGAGACTTGGGGGTCAGTTAGATCTACCAACCAATGGTACAGATTCATCATCACTGTCATCTGAATTTTCTTCTTCTAACTTTACATCTAATTCCTCATCACTGCCATCATCCATAAACAACTCCAAACTTCTTCAGTCTGCATAAAACCACGTCGCCTGGAGCTCGCCATTTTGGATAGAAACTGCGCATATGAAACAATGGGCCTAAAACAGACGCCTGCAAAGTGATCCTAATTTGAAAGCAAATAGAGGGAATCAACCAAATTATAGGGCTTTGGTTGAGCTTTCCAATGATATAGGGTTTGTCCATCTTTGGCCTCTAGTTTAGCAAATAAACATGTTTAAAATCATCAGCGGATTATCCACTGACACGGTGACAATGGTAGGTTCCCCTGTCAGCGCATAATCCGCTGACGCGCCTTCAAATAGTTAAATTATATCGAAAAAACGCAAACGGGGAAATGGAAAGTGGCCGTTTGTACAGATGGCAGTAATATACAGGTGGCCATCATGGCAGGTTCGACTATTTATTTATCATTCTGGTACCGGTATAGTATATATATGTTTCACGTCCTCATTGACACCGTCCAGATCATTTAGAAGGCAGGCAGCTTCAGCCCAGGGCCAACCGCTGTGCTTAGTTCCAGCAGAAAATACTCAATGTAATATCTTCCCTGTGTAAGAATTGAACTCATTTTCTTTGTGTGCTTGGTCACTACATGCAAGTATATATTTATAAAACAGCTTTTTTTGTATGTCCTAAGATTGGACTGCTGTTGAAACCCTCTTTTGAGCATAATTCTTAGCCTTCTTTCTCCATTCTTGATTTATATAATTGTGACCTTAATGCAAGAACATATGTTGACATACACATTGATATACACTTTAATAAAAATTTGCATGATGCAAGTTATACCCTTATATAATATGATTGTACTGGGATTTCTTCTACCAAACTCTTCCTACTGCATGTTCAAGGCTAAGTATAATGAATCATGTTGTTTGTGGTGCTTTTGAAATACACTCTGTTCACTCACTTTCAGGATGGCAAACCTTGTGAGTGGTGGTGGGCCTAGCGCAGATCAGGGACCGGGCGGCATTTCCTCTTTGCTTCAAGCGTGAGTAATAATAATAGATAGCATTTGTATAGTGCAAATCCCCGCTCAACAGCAAGCTCTATGCGCTTCACAATCTAAACTATTACCCCAGCAGACCTGAGAGCATTCTGAAACAACCTCAACTTCCTGGAAAGCATACAGTGCAAGCGGCCATTTATCTGCGCTAAAACACTAACATACTGTATAAATATTTCTGTAAAGTTTCTTGACCATGCCACAAACATTATTGATGGTGTTATGCTCTAAATGCATAACTGGAATAAGGAATAAGTCAACTGGTTTTGTTTTTTGTGTTTGTTTGTTTGTTTGTTTTTTAGTTCTAAAACTGAGGTTGATCTACTGGTTGTGAATAAAAATCAAGAATCAGCATGCTCTATGAAGTTTTATAGTGAAGTGGGCTCACTTTTGTGTCTTCTTTGATCGCTTAAATCAGATGGGGGGGGGGGGGGGGGGGGGGAATTCGTTTTTAACTTTTAATTAATTTTGTTTTTTTTTGGTTTTTTTTTTGGGGGGGGGGGGGGGGGGTTGCATGTTAAAAACTGCATTTCCTATAGACAATTTGCATGGTTAGAGCATATCATCATTACATGTGTGCACGTATGAGGTCAGTGGTTCACATTTGAATGGTATAAAATAATGATAAGAGATATATAGAGATGAAAAGTTTTAATAAACAGTAACTGAACAGTGCACATGTATTGTGTTACCTTTTAGGACGCTTTTATTCTATATTGTGGTTTGAAATTGATATTTAAAGGGAAGGTTCCAGAGGAATTTTATTGTTATTTTTATTACTAAGCTTTTCAAAAGTCCAGTGTATAGGAAGTGGAATAACAGAAAGCTTCTTGCTGGGTAGAATTGGGTGAAGGACAAGATATTAAAGTGGCAATGTACACTTGGTATACTGGATTTCAGTAAAAATAGTGATAATGTGATGTTATATATGTTTAATATTTTTTCTTTACCAAATGTTAAAATCTAAATTATAAGTACATGTCTCTATGTATACTGAATTTCCTTACAGAGATTATGATGTTTTTTTATGTTCTCCTCACAATTTGTACCACTATAAGCAGGTGGTTGGAGGGGGCATAGTTCTCTATCATTCCCAATCCTGGCTAAGTGGGATATAGTATCCTAGCTGACAGAGATACTCAGTATGTTAACTTCTCCAACTGGGAATCAGACTCTTTTGGGGGACTCTCGTGGCCAAGAGGTTAAGGTGTTTGCCTCTCATTCAATAGGTCACGGGTCCGAATATGGATAGCGATGGAAAATTTTCTTAAAATTGTTTCCTTCCACCTCCTTTCCTGCTCTTGCAATGTTCTGTCGTCTGCTTTCGTCTCCACTTTCTGCCCCCACCCCTTCACCTCCTTTGCCCCCTCCTTTGGGCTCCTGACTCTTTCTGCAGCCTTTCTACTACTACTCCTTGGTACATTCTTTCTGCTGTCTTTCAGCAACACCCCTGATCTTATGGTTGGAAAGATCTACACCTAGCCTTCTTGGACAAGGGCGAAAAATCTCGGGAGGTCCCGTGTGCAAGTTGCGCGCGTTAAAGATCCCTTGATGGTCCAAAATCGATAAGAGTAGGCTTCGGCCACCATCCGGTAGGCCTCCAGTATTGGCTCTGGGAAGGAGCCGACACCAACGTTTTTTTTACCGGGCCACGGGAAGTGTGCAGTGTGTAGGCCTAGGCCAAGGCCTGGCAGCTGTGATGACAGATGCATAATGGAGTGGGTGATCTTGATACATGACTTCAGATCCAAAATTGACAATCAAAAACGAAGTTTGCTGAAATTTAAATATGGCATCAAATCAGGTTCCACGCAAGCAACTTCGCTTATTTTGATACGCTGATTCCGAAAACGAAATAAATTTTTAGCAGTGATAATGATTTTAAGAATTCTGCATGCAAAGTTTAATCCAGCGCGGCGGCAAACTTCAAAGGTATTTTGCATCACAGTTCGCCTGTCCAATTCTGGCACATGAGTGTGTGGTGGGGGGATGCAGGCGGGGCTGATCGTGGCGGACGCACAGTCTGTGACGTCACCCCCTGGTGTCACTCCCAGTTACGGTACCGGTACTGACGGTTCTCTGTGCCGAGAAAGTACCGACACTGGGTTTCGCCGGTACCGCCCAGCACTACAGCCCTGGCAAAATTTCAAATTTCCTACCAACTGAAAATGTTTAATGTGTCTCTCGTGCTCATATGACCTAATGCAGTTGCTAGCGCCTTAAAACATTTTCGAAGTCTCTTTTGCATGCAGCGTCAAAGAGCCCTTCCACTACACCATAGATTTAATTTTAATGACAGTGAGCTCCTAATACCCAGTGCCCACTGCAAAAAGTGTTATCAAATCATGGTTTGATACATTTGAGGGTAGCCAGATTTTTTTTCCATGGAGAGCAAAAACTTTCTTTTTAGTTTTACCACATTTTGATTCAATCCTCCCTAATGAGACACATTTGATTTTTTAGATCACAATCTGGTGTATTTTAAATTTTTATGAAAAACCAGGCCCAACAGTCAATCAGAAGGCTAGTGCATCACATGACACTTGGGGGTTAGGTCTTTTGTTTGCACTTGGAATATGAAAGACCCCATGAACTTACGAGTCAAACTTGATTAAGCAAAGCAGAAGTACATACCCGGTAATATAATACATATATATATGTATAATGTGACTTGCGCCATTTCCCGACAGGACTTGATCCGATCTGATCATTCTGGTGGCGTCCATCGGACCAATGGGCATATGTTCTCACCCTTTATAGGATAGATATAATTTAAATGGCAGTGTGCTCCTCCTTAACCCCCCCCGGCTCCTGATTCTTTCTGCAGCCTTTCTACTGCTACTCCTTGGCTCCTTCTTACCACTGTCTTTCAGCCACACCCCCGATCTTGTAGTAAGTAAGATCTAACACCTAGCCTTCTCGAATAAGGGTGAAAAATCTTGGCGGTCCAGTGTGCAAGTTGCACATGTTAAAGATCCCTTGGTGGTCCAAAATGGATAAGAGTAGGCTTCGGCTGCCACCCGTACAAAATTTAAGATTCACAAAATTCCTACCAAAATAACATTTTTTAATGTGTTCCACTCGCTCATATGACCTTTTGCGAGTGCCATAAAAGACTTACCAAAACAAAAACAATTGCAATGTGCTCCTAAACTTAGACATAATCAGATGGCGGTACGTTGATATTTTTGGTCTCCTCAGGTCCCAGCAAATGGCGTCACAGATGCAGCAGGCCAACCCGCAGCTGGTGCAGCACCTACGAGAGCAAATGAGGGCTCAGAACCCGGGGGAGAACAACAGCAACAGTGGCCCCAGTAAGAATCTGTGTCCACGACTGATTGTGTTTCTGTGTCCACGACTGATTGTGTTTCTGTGTCCACGACTGATTGTGTTTCTGTGTCCACGACTGACAACTGATTGTGTTTCCGTGTCCACGACTGATTGTGTTTCTGTGTCCACGACTGATTGTGTTTCTGTGTCCACGACTGACAACTGATTGTGTTTCCGTGTCCACGACTGATTGTGTTTCTGTGTCCACGACTGATTGTGTTTCTGTGTCCACGACTGATTGTGTTTCTGTGTCCACGACTGACAACTGATTGTGTTTCTGTGTCCACGACTGACAACTGATTGTGTTTCCGTGTCCACGACTGATTGTGTTTCTGTGTCCACGACTGATTGTGTTTCTGTGTCCACGACTGACAACTGATTGTGTTTCTGTGTCCACGACTGACAACTGATTGTGTTTCTGTGTCCACGACTGACAACTGATTGTGTTTCTGTGTCCACGACTGACAACTGATTGTGTTTCTGTGTCCACGACTGACAACTGATTGTGTTTCTGTGTCCACGACTGATTGTGTTTCTGTGTCCACGACTGATTGTGTTTCTGTGTCCATGACTGATTGTGTTTCTGTCGTGGCTGACATCAAAAGAGATATGCTCTTACTGCGTAACTGGTTCCTTGAAAATTTTTGAAAATGCCACAAAAAAAGGGACTTGATTTAGATAATGACAGAAGATGCCAAAATTAACTCACAGAATTGTTTTTTGTGCATGCTTACTCCTGGTTTTTATTGATGACCTACAGATTGACTTTTACTTTTGTTTTGATGCATTAACAAAAATGGTTTACCTTTTTTTTTCAATTACACAGTTAGAGCACAAAACCATCTACTGTTGGTTTTCCTGTCGGGCTGTCATGTCAAGGAGATAAAGTTCTAGTTTTCATTGAAGTAGTAATGCAATAATTGTGTCCCTGCCAGTCAATATCAGTCATATGAAGGAAATTTCAAATCTGAGTTAACATTATTTTAAAAACTATAACCTTTTCCCTACAATTTAAAACAAGAATGAAATAAATATGACCATATTTGACGAAAATACAGAACTTTTAATTGTGCGAAGTGAGGAAACACGAAAAGGAGAAAATGGCCTCCGAAGTTGAGCGACATGGTTCCATAGCAATGGGGGTCTTAGAATTGAGATTGACAGACTTGTCATTTATAGTTCATTATAGTTGTTTATTTTTGTCTTAAATGAAGCAGAAAACATCGAACTTTCAATTGATCAAAAAAAAAAAAAATTCATGGAAAGTCACTTTTTTGCCTTTCGACCCTTGTAGCTGATAATAGGACACTGCGTCTTACGACTGATATTGACCGGGGGAGACAGATTTAGTGTTCTTTCAAATAAAACAAATTTCCCAACAATTTAAAAAAAGAATGAAGTAAATATGACAATGTTTGATGAAAATACGGAACTTTTATTTGTGCGAGGTGAAGAAACACGAAAAGGAGAAAATGGCCTCATTCCTAAGTTGAGCAACATATTTCCATGGCAACGGGGGTCTTGGAATTGAGATAGAAACTTGAAATTTAGCAGTTATCTTGGCTATGCCACTGCAAGGTAACACACAGAAGTAGAAAACTATTCATTTACAGAGAAAAAAATTCGTGGACAAAACAAAATTTTCACGGAATCGACTTCACGTCAAATGCATTTTGAGAATTTTGGTACCATACTTTTATCTCTCAGTCAATTTTTAAGAGAATGGCAGCTGTTTCAATTTTACATAATAATCAAATATTGCCGAAGTCACTAACTGGCTGCAATCCCATTAAAGAGAACCAAGTGCACCAAACATCTCTACATTAATAGAGTACAATCACCATAACAAAGAAATAAAGCCAAATTTTTTTCAAGGCTGTGAGATCATTACAAATCAGCATTTTATACTGTAGTATACTGAGTGCTCCCTGTAGTTTTGCGGAAGGATTCATGGAAAATATTTCCAAGCCGATTACTTTATTCTAATTATGCATTTTGTGTTAAAAATTATCTTTGAAAACTTACACGCTTTTTTAAAAGGCTTTCTATCCAAACGCCAAAAATATTCCAAGGGAAACCACACTCAAAGCTGTATAATTCTCCGCTAATGAAAAGACGGCATTTAATCATCAATCTTTCTTCAAAGCATTTAAATGCATGGGTGTCAATTTTGAACCAGCCGACCTCGCATTCCGACCGCGAGGGGTTTCCCTTGCCACGGCGATTCTGCAGCTCCAAATACTCAAATATACAAACAATTTACACTATTGTAACGAAGAAAATCTGAACTTTGTCAAAGTGTACAGCATTTGGTGTTTTATAGCAAAAGAGCAAAGGGAACTGCGATCTGAAGTACCCCCATTTCACCAAAACCATGCACTCATAAGTCTGCAAGTAGGCTTACGTGCCGTGTTTACGCTACCTAATTAAACGTTTCCAATAGCACCACGCGCGCGCACACACATATACACACACAAACACACCAACACACACATTCACATAGACTGCCTCAGTGTCCTCTTGGTAAAGAGTCTGCTTTGAGAGAGATCTAGAGGAAGGTTAATTAGTCTTTTTAAAGCACTAAAACACAATAAAACTAACTTTTTAAGTCAATCAAAGTGTAAAACTTAAAGATGAACAGACGATAACAGCCAGCAGGGCACGCCCACATAGTCAGCAGTTTATGTATACAAGCTTGAAGTGAGCTAGAAGTTACCGTTCTTACCCCGTTTAACCAATCAGAGCCTTCAGTCGTGCATAGTGACAACAAGTTGTTTACATTTCAGACCATTCATTCCCGAAAAGGGGTTAAAATCTAAAAATAGTTGCGAATAAAGAACGTTGAAGCAAATGTGGCAATGAGGTAATGGTTCTATAAATAATCTCACAGCTACACACCAGCAAGATCCAAATTCCTTTATCTTGTCACCCAAGCTCACAACAAACCACGCACACCTCCAAAATAAATCAAAATGAACTATTTATTGTCAATTATAGTTGTTTATTTTGATCTTAAATGAAGCAGAATATATCAAACTTTCAATAGATCCAAAAAATTTTTTAAAATGGAAAATCATTTTTTTGCCTTTCGAGCCTCGTAGCTGAAAATAGCACACTGTGTTTTACAACTGATATCGACTCAATGCTTCCACTCTTCCATATTTTTACGGAGATCCATAATTTCTGCCAGTTCCGTACTTGTTTCTCCATCATTATCAACTCCCTCCGTAAAAAGCTGCAACAGTGTAGGACTACTGAAATTCCATAGCAAAAGATCCGTATTCGCCTTCGTATTGTCTAGTACAGTCCATGCCGGCTTTAAGCACGGTCATTGGGAGAAAGCATAAGCGTGCTTAAATCCGAAGCGTGCTTGAGTGTGAAGTAGACATAATCCAGAGATTTTCAGGTAGAAAATTTCCTGTGCTATTTCCCTTTGTTTGTAATAGCGGTCCCGCAAAAGTGTGCACTGGTATTTTTACCCGCCATGGTAGTTTTTGTTTGCTTGTTTGTTTTTGTTATGTGGTCGAATGGGAAATGAAAACTTAATTTAGACGGCCAGTCACGATACAGTACACTAGGCCTACACGCTGCCTGTGTATACCACTACCCGCTGTGCCACATTCATACCACCGCCTTCATCCCACCTCGCGCGTGATTCACAATCAGGATTAATGGATAGCAAGGATCAAAGGTGAAATCGCAGCCAGCCGCCCTTTCTCGTCTCCCCGACTCTCTTTGTATTTTTAAGTCTGTGTGTAACTTTGCCCTAGGCTAGATCCTATGTCCCCGCGCGCGGCTGTGTGCATCTCTCTGCTTTCCTCTCCGCCCGTGTGAGTGTGTGTCTCCATCACTGGCATCACTTGCGTTCTCTGTGTTTCTCTTAATACACTCCACTGCTGCGGTGTAGACTGTGTTCGAACTTCGATGGGTCATCGTGAAAGTATTGACTGTCTTGTTGTAATAAAGCGTGCCTAAAGCCGAAGTTACCGTGCTTAAAGGCGTGTAATTTATATGGCAAAAATTCGGTAAGAGCCGTTTAGCGTGCTTAAGTCCGAAACGTGCTTTAAGCCGGCGTGCTTATAGCCGGCACGGACTGTACTAGTATAAGTTACAGGTATTTATGGTAATTCTCTCGGCAATGAGTTAATGTTATAGTTATAGAAACCTGCCAGGTTGCGCATTTCCTCCAATCGGTCATTATTCCGCAATGCCCCATGCATTCATTGCTGGCTTGTCGGCAGTACATTTTTACCTGTGGATTGATCAAAATTTGGCGAACTTTTTGTGCCGATTTCCTCCTTTCTATCATTCACTCATTCACTCTGTCTATCTTCGGATTGTTGCCGCGGCTGGAAAATCTGCCCGTTGATCAAGTAAATTGACTTGTGATCTTAGACAGAAAATTACCGTAAGAAAGAAACTTTTTTAACAAATTTGTCTAGATCTAGAGAAATGATCAATACGAAGATTCTATGGCACGGAAAGTGATAAGGGCCGCCGTGAAAGAAATTTAGGCTAAAACGAGCCTAAAACTACTAAAATCAAGAATGATTCGAAGTGGTGTTCCGAGGTTTTGACATGCGACATTCAGGCGTGAAATTTAAGGAAAATTAGGGTATACGTCGAGTAACTCTGTATTGTGAAGGTATATATTCATTATACCCAGGTTTGCCTTCTATCAATGGTGCGATGACAAATTAATTGAATTATAGTAGCAATGGAAGGGGAACCTGCTTTTAAACATTGCCATCAATGGAAATATATTATGTAGATCTTGGTGAAGAAATCAAAGAAAACAAAATGTTAGCGAAAAAATAAACGTTATGGTTTGCAGGCAATCTCTTCAAACAGGCTCCCAAATACCATTTTCAACCCTCTAAAAACACTAAATTAAAATTTTTTCTGGGGCTTCGCCCCCTGAACCACCACCGGGACGCTGTCCCTGGACTCTGCTGGGGGCCTTTGCGGCCCCCAGACCACCCCTGGCAGAATTTTCCTTAATTTTCAGCTTCAGCTGGTGGGAGACACATGGGTCTTTTTTTCCGATGATTTTAGTTACTGATAAAACTTTCTGTTCTGGTATAAAGAAATTTCTTTTTCCTTTTTTTTTATTTTTTTTAAAAATTTTTTTTTTACTAATTAATGGGAGATCCTGCTTGTCAGCAGGCTTTGATCAATTCCAGGAAGCCTTCTGTGTGAGTTTCCTCTTATCTGTTCCTGACATGTTATAGTGCATTGGTATAGTGAGTTGGTCTTTCTGCTTTTTTACACATAGTCACTGATGAAGAGGTTAATTTTATCTATATCTCGGTCTTATGTACTTATGTTCTATACATTTTTTTCGTTTCACTTGTATGTCTTATTCATCTGTGTAAATTACATTACATGTACTGTCTTTGTCTAATTCTTTATAATTTGAGTTACTGTCATGTGTCTGATGAACCGCTTACCTTTGATGATGGGCAAAGGATGATTAGAACTCTCTGAATCTGGCAATAAGGAAAGTTTTGTTAGTTAGTTATATAATATTCTTTCTTGACAGTATGATCACTTGTACTTGATTGAAAGTTATGACATCTTGAGGTTTACAGTTAGTCAACCCAGTGACAACTGATAACATGTGTCAAGGGGCATTCTTATTGCCTTTAATTAATGACTTGAAAAGGAAAACAGATTAAAGAGGAGTTTTAATTTAGAGGCAGTTCTTAACATTTTTTTACTATGCGGCTGTTTGTTGCAGTTCCTTTTAACAAAGTAGAGATTTTGAATTAAATATATATAAAAAATTTAAAAAGTCAATGGCTAGTATTTTGTTTATGCTTATTATGCTGACATTTCTTGTTATCGTGAGATTGAACATTAGACTTTATAAAACTTTTCCAGGTTACTGTGACTGCAGTTCAGTCTGCTGTCCCTTTTTATTTAAAAGTTGATTTCACAAGCTTTTCAACTATAAATGACGAGCTTCACATTTTTTTTTCTCAGGTGACAGCAATCCAGGGGACAGCTCTGGTCACCCAGGACAACCCCCGCAGTAAAGGCCCTGTGACCGGTGGTTGGAAAGCAGTCCACCTTACTTGTGGATATCCTGGGAGTTTGTTCTCATGTGCTTGTGCAAGAGTGTCTGTCTGGATGATGGAGAAGTTTTGATACTTTGATGAGAAGGATGTCTGATTGTTGTTTAAGGTATTTTGCCGGTATTTCATCTGAATCAGAAGATGCCAAGTTTTTTTTTCTCTTTTTTATAGGTGGTGGATTTTTTTCTTATTCATCTACGATAAAAATCAAAGGATGGTATGATGGACCATTTTGTGGTGACTTTCTTTTTTATTGGAAGAGTGGACATTTGTAGAAATTTCTGGCTCTGCACACCGAGTGTATAGGTGAAATAATAAGATAGTTGAAAGGGTACAGTGTTATTAGGTTAGAAGTACAGTCAAAATTGTGTACACCGGCCACCAATTGTCGAGGAGAAAAGTATTTGAAGAGCACAGGGGGAAAACGACGATAGTCACAAACTGGAAATTGTGAAGGTGCCAATTTTTAAAAGCGTGTGGACTCATAACTTCATCTTTGTTTGACTGTGGTTTATTGTTAAGTGTTGTTAAATGGGATATTAACAAAAATAATCAACCAACAGTTGAACAGAAATACAGTTAATAGTCAACAAGCATTCAAAATTGGTACCCTCACGATTTTCAGTTTGTGACTACAGTTGTTTTTCTCCTGTAGTCTTCATTTGTCTTAGATTGGTGGATGTTCTGGACAGTATCACTATAATATTAAAAAATGCAAGTGGAAAAGTAGGAAGTGATTGCTTGGACTGGAAGCTGTTAGAGCAGGTTCAAAGTCTGTACACCTTCTGGTGTCTCAATTTTTTCATAAGAAATAAAGCCATTGTAGGGCATATGTCAATTACAGTACTTCCACTCTACTTCTCAGTTGATGGACCTATCTGCTATTTTCAGTGTTATCGATCCAGAACGGAATTGAATAAAAACTTGCCATCCACGAGGAAAACAAATATCTGACAGAGTAGGCCTATTTTTACCACTTGCAGCCACAAGTGAGGAGTCTTGCCGATTGAGTAGACCCAGAATGACAATGATGTCACTCCAGCATGGAGGAAAGCTGCCACTAGGGCTGTGGTCTGGTTTGTCCTATCATACTAATTTTATATTATATAGATTGTGTGGAATTGCAACAGCTTGGAGTGGGATGTCCTCACAGTGCGTCCGTTTTCAAAATACAGTTGCGGCTAGCTGCCTTGTTGGTGGGCAGTATCAAAGTTCCTGTAGCAACCACCATCACTCTCAGTTTCTGAAGAGTCTAAATTTATATGAATGTAGACTAAAGGAGCAAAACAAAACAACAGCTGTCACACTTTGGTGCTTTTGAGAAATCTTAATTTTAAAATTCCTTTCTCCTAAAGGATACATAAAATTTTCTTCCTATCATTTTTACATGGCCCCTGCCATTTTTGTCCCTGTTGTCTCATTGTAATATTATGAAGCGGCCATGAAAAAAAAATTGAACGTACCTACTTTTCCTTCAACTTGTTTTCTGTTCTTAGCTAGTACAAAGTCTATTTTGTTCAGAGATGTAGACCTGCTTTCATTTTCAGGAGACTGAAAATATTTTTTTGTTTTCTGTGAAGGGAATTTGTGGAGTTGACAAGAGCCGTTGTGTATGATTTGAAGCCAGTTTGCCAGTGGTGATCAATATTTATGATATGTTAGCTGTATTAGACCTGCATGTGAGCCTCAACCAGATTGTCTGAAAATTTTGCGCAACCCCCCCCCCCCCCCCCAAAAAAAAGCCTTTGTGGGTGTCATAAGGAAGGACATCCGACTAACGAGCGACCACCCCAACAAACACAATAAAGAAGAGACCTAACCCTACCCCCAAAAAGAACCTGCAACAGGCCTCATGTAAAAAGGCCAAAACAAGTCCTAAATGAAAAAAAAAAATTAAAATTAAAAAACCACACTCCAAAACAAACAAGGAGCATATAGATCTAGATCTATATGGCTTACATCTACATTGCTGTAGGGTTTGATACAATAACACAATAGAATTGGAATATGAATCCTCCTTATAGATCTAGTAATCTAAATAAATCTAGATCTAGATCTAGATCTTGTAGAACAAGTGGATAGGAATAGGCCTTGAACTAGAAATCCGCATCCGATTCCGAACAGAGGGACTCAGCTGAGTCTAGATTCTGAATCTAAATAAATAAATAATTCACGCACCTGATGAAATGCTTATTTTTACCAATATTAATATTACGGCACAACCTATGATAGGGTTTGACACAATAGAATTGGAACATGAATCCTCCATTGAGGTCTATAATGATCTATATAAATCTAGATCTAGATCCTATTAGAACAAGAGAGTTGGACTTGAATAAATCCACACGATCTGAACAATTTAATTAGTCAACAAACGAAATTCAAAATGGCCGCTCGAGCACGAAACTGAAAGTAGATAATTTAGGTTGTCGTCCTTTTTCGTATTCGCATTTCTACTCAGGTTCCGACAATTATGTCGCAAACGCCGACGTCGGCAGTGCGCGCGTTGGCGGTCGGCACGAAAACGAAAGTGCCGACAAAGCCGACGGGAGAAAAATGGGTTGCTGGCAGTCGGCCAGGCCTCGCACTACGCACATTGACTGATACAGGCGGGCCTAGCGATAGCATCGGCCGGTTCGTGGGTTGCGTCACGATTGTCGGATTTCAGACGATTGTCAGCAAACATGCAGGTCTACTGTATACACAGCTCAAGAACTGGCCCAGGCTTCAAATCTATTGTGGGTTAGACTTTCCTCTGGTTTTTGCCATCTTGATGTCAGAAGTGCTGGTAACAGTTATCTGTGCAGACTGGTTTTTCCCCCCCCCCAACTCCCAGTAGAGATAAAAGATAGTATGAGGGCACCACTGGTAGGTCATATCTATTTCATATTCTATTTTTTTAAGTTTTAGTCTGTAGTGTATCAATGAGACTTTTCTTTATCCTTCACTCAAAAGCCAAGTCTGGTGGGGGGGTTTGTTGCACATGGTGCTTTTTCTTGTTTTGAGTAATGTGAATGCGTGGGAGAAGTTTGTATGGAATAAAAAGTCGTACTTTTTGAGAGGTGTGTGAAGAATGTAGGCTTGTACTCCGTGATAACATAATTATACAATCACATGCGTGTGAGTCAGAGGATTATTTCAAGCATGGCGTATATATATATATATATATATATGTGTGTGTATATTTGAAGTCTCCCACCCCTGTGATTGCTTGTTCTGAACATTGTTTTGTTTTTCATGCCTGCCCCTCACCCCCTGTTTGCACTAGTGTGTTCACTGCCGTGTTTTTTCCTCATCAGTTAGAAAAATCATGAATCACAGCTATTATGTGAAACAGAAGTAGTATAGGGGTCACTTTTGTCATATCATGATGTGAAAAGTTGTTTCTGTTGTCTTCCGTAGATTTTGTGACTATCCTTTCTTGCAGTATTTTTCCCCAGCTCAAAATGAAAATCTACCCAATGCAGTTTGTAATAAACATTCTTATTTCTCAAACAGGGAAGAAGATGTCCTTTTTGAACTGACATTTATTGTAGGAAAAGGAACCGGAAAGGCAGAGTCCATTTGGACTCTATTACATGTATATCTTTGTAGTCGAAGCACTCAAGACTAGCCTACAGTATAAATATATTACTATAAGTTATAAGTCCTACTATGTGCTTTTTTCTTCTTTTTACTTTTAGATAAGGAAGGATTTGCTTCCATAGTATTATAAAAGAGGAATTTATCTTTTATGTGACTAATCATTTATCATGTGTTGACAGTTATTTTCAATTTAAAAGTATGGTTGTGTCCTCCTCTTGTAAAAAGTATGCAACATTTTGTGGTAGTAAGTGTTCTGACATCAAATCTTTTCTAATGGTCCTCTCACTTACTGACACTGATCCATCAATACATTGTCAACACTATCTGGCCTTGGAGCTCTGCACCATAATCTTTAGAAAGGCTTCATCATAAAGAATTGTACATGAATACATGCATTTCACGGACTGACTGGTATGTCGACAACTGTTTCCAAAATTAAATGTTTCAAGTGAAGTATCTGTTCCATGTTTCTCTTTTCTTTGAATTGTATTACAATCAAACCTCGTTATACCACCTATCTATGGACGAGCATGAAGTTGGCAGAACAGCAGGGCTGGCAGCATAACGGGATAGCTGCACTGATTGCCATGCCATCTTGACTTGTGGTAGAGACTAAAGACAAACTGTGGCCAGTTTTGATTCATCTATTTTTATGTTTTAGTAGAGGTTTTACGGCGCTCGCAACTGCATAAGGTCAAATGAACACCAGAAGATTAGAGGTGTTAAAGAGAGTAACAAACATAAAAAAGAAGAAGGGGAGATAAGGACGATAGATGTTTGATAGGAAAGAAGGAGCAAACCACACCAGAGCACCCGCCAACCAACCACTGACTCTAGATCTGTCTTGTGCAAGTGCAATGTGCAGGGAAAAGACAAGTTCCAACCAATTACATGTACTGCTCCAGCTGAACTTGATGTAAATTCGAATTAAAAATTTCTGCTGGATCATAAGCTAAGCTGTAACATGTGTCTAGGACCCTGTAAATGTACTTTTTTGGGGTGCCTGCCAGCCTTTTCATCATCAGAGGCTTTTCTAGCAAAGCTAAATCCACGGTGATCCCAAAAAACTGTACTTTATTTGTTTATATTTTCCTCCACACTGAAGTTTTGAGTTTCAAATTAGTACTATACACATTTGAAAGTCAAAAGGAATGTCTGATATTCATTTTAGATAAATCCACAGAAAAGTTTTGCTCTACATAGCGCGTAAAAAAACAACCCATTTTCAACTATGTCCCCATTTTTGTAGCATGACGCACTTGTTCGCATTAGGCCTACCACTAAAAATCCTAACGATTGCGCCATATTGCAAACTACAGTAGTCTAACAGGCCAACAGAAATTTGCATAGTTTTTCTCAAGTTTTCTTTGCCTGCATGCTGAGATCATGGTTAAGATTAGTAAAGAGCAGAGAGCTTTTTGTATTGAAAATTTCCTCATCTCCGACTAACTTCATAAGTTTCGCACAAGGTATGGAAATAGGGTTCCCATGGAAATAATGTTAAAGTGCCCTTAAAAAGGCTTTCCTGGATGTCAAGGGTGGAAATGGTCAATCGGTTAGGACCTGTAGAGAATCAGAACTAAAACTCCCCAGATGAAAACAACCACTTACGGTCAAACACACACCGTTTGCATCCATTTAA